CTCTTTCTCCTTTCATCGTTTCTTCAATTTATGTGAACGCCGATTTTTATTTGCGATCATCAGAACACAAAGCCACAGAGGACATTTGGCATCAACGGTTAGGCCATCCATCGCAAGGGATTTTAAATCATTCAATTCGAGCAGCAGTTCTTGATAAAAATAGTCTTCTCTTACCTGACGGCACGGAGATGAAACCACAGTCTCGTCCAACGGTTTGCACCACCTGTCTGGTCGCCAATCTTACCCACGACCCATTTCCGAGTCATTTTCCGGGCTCCACTCGTTACAAAATGATGCAGAAAGTCTACAGTGATATTCTCAACTTACCTGAAGCAGGATCTAAAGAGGAGCAGTACGTGATTACCTTCATCGAAGCGTCTACTTGCTACGTTTGGACAACCAATCTACCTGCTCGCTATCTCGCCCATTCGGTCTTCGTCGCATGGCTCGCCGTTGCTGAAAGAGAGTCTGGAGCTAAAGTGCAAGAATTTCAGAGTGATGGCGCCGGGGAATACACGAGCAACGCTTTCACCGACTACCTGCAAACCCTCGGCATCGAACGGAAGCAGTCTCTGCCACATGCACACTGACAAATGGGGGTAGCAAAACAGATGAATCGAACTCTGCAGGAGAAGATGCGTGCTCTCCTGACGCAGGCAGCTCTTCCTTCTCGTTTTTGGCCTTATGCGATAAGCCACGCCGTGCTGTTACACAACCTGCTGTCTTCCACGTCACTGCTCGAGTTTTCTTCACCTCACCTGCAGTGGACACGTACGGTGGGCAATACAAAGCTCTTACGCGTTTTTGGGTGTGTCGTGCAATTTCGACCTCCAACTGCAGCACTCGGCAAATTTTCTGAACGGGCAAAATGGGGGGTACACCTCGGCATCGAAAAACGGTATCACACATGGAAGATTTTGGATCTTCGTTCCAACCAAATCGTCCCTTCACGAGATTGTCTCCTCTATGAGCGACTCACCTTGCCCGTTTTTCATGCCCACCAGGCAGCGGCTGCCAACCCCGCCAGGCTGTTCGAAGATTCGCGTGCATTTGCAATTGACGAAGCCGAAGCTGATGTCCATGTAGAGGCAATTTCTGAAGCCTTCTGAAGCCGCAACAGACATTCCCGAACCTGTGACGTCGTCTAGCATCCCGGAACTCATTCCCCTCGCTGACGCTGACCCGGATGACGTTCGCGAAGTCCACCTCAGTTACGAACGCGATCATCAATAGCAGCCGATGCCAGCCGTCTCCGACGAAGCAGTCCGTATTACACCTAACGAAATTGGGGGGGAAGAAGGGTCAGAAGAAAATTTCGCAGGTGCAAATGGAGAACGCCCGCATTTTACAGAAACTGGTTTACAGATGCTTAGATTCGCAGTCGTAGTACAGTACAACGACAGTAAAATACTTGAACCGAAAACAGTTCGACAAGCTCTTACGAGTCCTTACCGAGAAAATGACGCGAAGCCATGGACAAAGAGCTAGCAGCTCTTAAGAGTCGCGGCACATGGGAGCTGATACCGATATTAGAGGTAAAAGGAAGAAAGGTTCTTACCGGAAAGTGGGTCTTCCGTGTCAAGACTAATGCAGATGGATCGTTTGAGAAATTCAAGGCACGATGGGTCGTCCGCGGGTTCGAGCAGACTTTCGGCCTCGACTACGAACTTACCTTCGCTCCCCTCGGTCGACATACGAGCGTTCGGATTTTACTCTGTGTCGCCGCCTGCCGCAATCTACGACTACGTCAGATCAATGTGGCGAATGCTTTCCTCTACGCACCTGTCGACGCACTCATTCTGGTAGAGTACCCGCACTCGTACACTACTAACCCACCGAGCGTGTGTCTTCTCAGAAAATTGCTCTACGGTATTAAACAGGCACCTTGGCTCTGGCAGCAGTATCTGCATTCACAGCTACTCACTGCTGGATTTCGTCAACTACCGCATGATCAAGGAATGTATCTTCTAACTGCTGGAAGCAACTACATCCTACTCGTCGCTTACGTCGACAACATTCTCTACGTCAGCACGACTGAATCGCTCGCCAACTCCTTCATACTGAAACTACAGAGAAACCTACAGCTCACCGTCTCTGAGTCAGTCTCACAATTCTCGGTCTAAACATTACCTGCTCACCGACATCCATTCATCTAACTGCCTCGAAGTATGCAGCTACTCTCGCTGCCCGCTTCAACCTCACTCCTACTGCAATCACTACACCGTACCGTTCCTTACCGACAGATTACAAACCGAATACTACACCGTTGAGTCTAATCGATTTACAGACTTATCAACAGCAGTTAGGCTGTCTTCTCTTTGGCGCTGTTACTTGTCGTCCGGATCTAGCCTATGCGGCTAGTCAACTCACTCGATATCTACACCGTCCTGAAGGAGAGCATCAACTTGATCTCCTACGCGCGCTTCAGTATTTCATTTCGACTCCTGGCGTCGGTTTAATATACAACGTCGTCGGCTGTAAAACATTATATCTACACGGTTTCGTCGATGCCGATCACGCTGCCGATACAACTAATCGACGCTCGCGTACTGGATTGATCTACTACCTTGAACCTATCGGGCCTATTTCTTGGAATTCAACGAAGAAGGAGCTGATTGCCCTCTCCTTTGCTGAAGCTGAATTTATCGCAGTCTGCACAGCAATACGCGAAGGACTTTACATGCAGGAACTCTTGGAAGAAGCGAAGTTGACGACGAGTACTCAGTTTAATTTGCAGTGCGATAACCAGAGTGCAATTCGCATCGCTCACCAGCCCGGGTTCGTCAGCAGGGTGAAACACATTTCACTACGTTACTTTTTCGTCAAGGATGAAGTTGAGAAGGGGAGGATGCGATTGGTCTACTATTCGACCAACGAAATGGCTGCCGATTTCCTCACAAAAAAGCTGACACGACAGAAGTTTCATTACTGTAACAAGCTTTGCGGGATCTTCAAGAAGTAACACTATCGGACTTCCAGAAATCAAGGGGAGTGTTGTGATATGATTCATACTTAGCATTTCTGTAAGTCGATTATCGATAGATAGTGTCGAATCCTACTGTAGAAGATAAGTCCGTATGATGACGTCAGCAAATAGCGCTCGTCATGAGGATAGTCGTTTCAGTCACGCGAACAGTCGCATCTCTTCAGTATCATTTAGGGCGCATAGCTCTATAGTATCAACAGGTACATTAGCAAACATGTACTTCTATTAGATATAAAAGTAGCCTATCTTTATTGTTTGGTTAACTTGTAAAAACTTGTAAACTTGGTTAATGTGATTCAGGACTTGATTATGAACTTCTTCTTCAGTAAATTCTGGTTACTACTCTACAAGTTCTAAGCTTTCCACTGTCTTACTAGTCTACCATTCCAGTAAAGATCCTAGGCTAACACTTGAGGTTTTCCAAGTGTTCGTGTTTGCAGATTCTATACTTAGTCTCCTGCTACACCTGTCAAATTATTACACGATGGTCAATTCTAACTAATCTAGATTCCCCAAGTACACTCATGGCATTTCACCAACTATTTCATACCACAGATCAACACCGTAATAGACCAATTGGTGCTTCCCACCCCCATTTGAACAATCCGCGGCTTAGCAACTGCAGTAACGACCTACGGTTTAGTAGTTGCCCAACAAATTCTGCACCCCATCATCCACACGATTTTTTCATAGCCTAGCTATAGAGCTGTGCAGCAGCACAACGTGGTCCATTGCGTCAGGCCAATGCGAGTTGGGCAGTCGCATGTCACATAGCAGCTTGCGCATGGTGTTTTGCAGCGTCTTGCTCATCCTTCTGCTACCCATTGCTGTTAGTGTGCGTAGGGGAGGGAGATGAGTCTCTTGATTTCCCTTTGCGCCAGATAGCTGCTGAATTGGGATAACTAATACTCCAAAGCTCCATCTGACAAGAAGCTTCTCACCATCACATCGCTCTCTCGTTCCGCCTTAGGAAGGTTTGCAACGAACGCCGCGTAAGCAAGCTCGCGGGAAGGTAAGTTGAGGTGCCATACGAAGCGAGTTGATGCGCCGATGAAGGTGGTGACGTAGTTGATGTCGGATCTGCCTTCGTTCCGATGGATATTCAGGATGTCTCTCTATGTTTTTTCCAGTGGAGCGTACGCCGAAGCACTGGGGTTGTGGTGCGACGGGAAAGGTTGATGTGGTATGTCTACTTCCAGGCAGATGGAACAGCTTCTTGTCAGCTTGCGTAGTTCTCGTCCATCAGGTAGGAGTAGCGCGTATTTGTCAAGCATCCCCGCGCGTATTATGTTGTTATGGAGTTTCCTAGATATCCTAGTCTCTGATGCCGCATGTCCTCGCTTGCTTTGTGTCCGGCAGATCTCTGGTACAGGTCGGAGTTGACGTAAAGCGCAAGGAATGTCGTGGTGCTGTAGTGGATTTCGCGGGTGTGCACCTTCAGCTCCTCCGCTTTGGTTGGGGGTGGTTCTTAGATAGGCGCCACTTCAACTGGTGGTGGGGTTGAAGAACCAGCTACCGGTTCTTGAATTGTTTCACGTGTTTTCTCTCCTGTAGCTCCATAATGAAATTGAGGGCTCTATGGCTATCCGAAAAAAGCTGGGAAGGACTCCAATTGTAGCAGAAACCTCTGGAAATTATTCCAGTGCTGGCGAACCTTGGGGGAAAATTAAAAGCTGTCGAAGCCACTCAACCCTTTGCCGGAGTCAATATCCTTTTGCGGAACCAGCCTTCAACACCACCACAACCCCACGCGGTCTGGCTACGCGGCTGAAGCAGCTGAGGGGGAAGCTGGAGGTCCACAGGAAGCTGCAACGACCTCGAATCCCACCTTCGACGTCGACACCAGCGGCGGCACGGACGCGTGCCAACCCTACACCAACCAATAGACCAGGTGTGGATCCGCCCTTCACACACCACTTGCCTTTCACACCTCCTGCAGCAGCTGCACCATCAGAATCTAGTAGATCCATTAGTACCCATAAGTCCTCCACCTTTGTACCGTTTTGTTGTGTGATGTTATCATATGCTATCACATTCTGTCTTCCTCCCATCCCTTGTTTCAATTCGCATGTATGGTTTGACTGTGTGTGAAAGAATTTGTGTGGTGTGTTCTGGAGTTTGGGAATGTGTTTTGTGTTATTCTGTTTGAGCAGGTATTTGCGATGATAGATCTTGAGAAGATCTTTCTGAGGCAACAAGAATCGCTTCAATCGGAGCAAGAACGCGAAAGCTATGAAAATTCAAAGTTCATGAGCTTGCGTTACAATTGCGGCGGTTACTAAGTGAAGTTGTGGGGTGACTTTATATGGAGTTGGGACCTTTGGGGTTGGGGAAACTTGTCACTCTACTGTAACAGCTGCAAATAGGTTGGGAACAACCAAGCTAGGTTGGCAAGGGTGGCCAACTTGGATGGATTGGTTGGGAAGGGACAAAGGTCAAAGTTGAGGTTCCTATAGGGAGGGAATCTTTGTGCTTATGGGGTTTCCTTGGTTGGGGACTCTCTTGGGACCTTCCCTCTCATCCCTCTCTTCTATCCCAACCTTTCTCTTGCTCCTCTAATTCCTTGTGAGATTCTTGAACTTTGATTGAACTCTTGAGATTGAGTTAAGTTCTCCTCCTACAGCTTACCCCCTAATGCGTCGAAAGCCATAGCGTCGCGAATACTTCATCAATCAACGTGATTCAAATTGGGAACGGTAGCTGAGATCAAGAGCTACAACATATCCAAGTTTCGCGACATTCCAACGGCTAGTGTTTTGTCGACGTCGTTTCTTGTGAAGACGACTTTTCTGTCCAGAATTTCGGATTTATATTTTGAGTAATTCTAGCTCCTAAGTTCACCTAGACTCTGTCCTTAATCCTAACAAGTGGTATCAGAGCGATATTAAGGACATTGAGAGGAGTCTACAGAAGTGTGAAGACCCTTCTAGACCCACCATGGCCTGTGGGTGTGCCTAAGTGGTGTTCTAAAGGTTGGATGTGTCTTCCGCTAAGGGGAAACTCTGCCGAAATTTCGTGGACGCCGACACTTGTGAAAATATCGAGGGAGCTGAGTGTGGACAGCAAAGGGGGGCTGAAATTCGTCATTTCTCAAGGAGAAGATGAATGAGAGAGGAGGAGATGCTAATGGAAGAGGAGCTGTAGCTGAGAAGACAAGTGAGCCGCCGCCATCAAAAGTTGAAGCTTTGGATGGCTCCAACTATGAGGAATGGAGCGGACGGATGAGGAGTGCCTTCAAACGCTACAAGCTACTGAAGATTGCTGTTGGGGAAGAGAAGATGCCGGAAGAAGGCGAAGCACGCGAACGGTGGATTGAGAAAAGCGCGGTGCTTTTCGACCTCATCCTTCAATCGGTCAACAAGGAGATGTTCGAGCACATCAAGGATCTTGTGGAAGCGGATGATTCGGGTCCAAGGGCGTGGAAACTACTACGCGATGTGATTCAGCCCAACACTCTCCCGATGGTGATCGTGCTCGAGAAGGAACTTGCTGCCATCTCCATGCGACCAGGGGACGATGTGAAGCCGGTCCTTGACAAGATCAAGGACACCTATGCAAGGATGGCAGCAGCGGGCAGCAGTGTATCTCAGCTGCAGCAGTGCACCAAGATCATCTCGGTGTTGGACAACTCGTGGGATAACCTCATCCCCACCCTCAACTCTCAGCAAGATCAATGGACACCTGAGTGGCTAAGGCAGCAGATTCTGCAGGAGGACTTCCGCAGACGCCATGTGGGAGGCGGTGCTGCCACTAAGACTGCTGAGGGGTATGGAGCTGCAGGGCGCGGCAGAGGAAGAGGGGGTTGGAAAGGCCGAGGCCGTGGGAGGAGCTTTGGCAGAGGTAGAGGCCGAGGTGACTATAATGAGGGGCATGGGAGCTCTAGTGGCAGGGGGAGTACCAGAATGGAGGGCACGTGCTGGTACTGCAAGAAGGTTGGGCATCCTTGGTTCAAGTGCTTCAGCAGGCTGGAGGGATGGGCACCTCCAGGCATGAAGCCGCCCAGTGGTGAACGCGCACAAGGTGGCGCTGTGCAAGGCTCAGGTGCACAAGGTGAAGGTGCACAAGGTAATGCCTATCCTGGTTTGTTTGTTATGGTTGAGGATGTGCATGGGCATGAGGGTGATGTGGGATCTGTGGGAAAGGTTGTGATGCACCCTCTCACGCACTGGGTGATTGATTCGGGTTGCACCAGTCACATGACCCCACGGGCAGATTTGCTTGATGAGGTAAAACCCCCTGGGAAGATCAAGTATGTGGCAGCAGCGTCAGGTGCTTTGCTCCCTGTCATTGGTGTTGGAAATGCCAAGGTTAAGGGAGCTAATGGGGAGCTTGTGGGGCTTGGGAATGTTCTGCTGGTTAAAGGCTTGTCTGCTAACCTTCTCTCTGTGCGACGACTGCAGAAGAGCAAGGCCGAAGTGACCTTTGGACCAACCAGCTGCCGTGCTAAGCTTGGGAAGAAGGTGCTATGGAGTCTGGAAGAGGAGACCAGTTGCATCAAGGACCTGTGGCAGCTGCCCATCATCCCATGGAATGGGAAGACTCCAACAGCAGCAACGGCAGCAGCGGCAAAGGCAACAGCAGGAGGAGATGCAACTGCACCAACTGATGGGGTCCTGGAAGCAGTCAAGAAAGTGCAGCAGCAGCAGAGACATGGTGAGGTGCTTGCTGGTGTGGATGCGAGTGCGGCATGGGCTAAGGCTTCATCAAAGAGTGGAGAGGCCGATTGGGAGACATGGCATGAGAGGCTGTGTCATGTGAACTTCCCTATGCTACAGAAGTTGGTAAAGGATGGGAGCCTGAAAGGCTTGGAGGTGAAAGGGGGAGTGAAGGAGATTGGGAGCTGCCCTACATGCTTGGAGACCAAGTTCTCCAAGTTCCCCTTCAACAGCACTACAGGACCAGCCAAGACCCCACTTGCACTTGTGCACATGGATGTGGTGGGGCCCACAAGAGCCCCTTCCCTCTCAGGCAGCCGCTATTTCTTGACAATTGTGGATGACCACACTCGAGCAGTGTGGGTTTACCCTTTGAACAGCAAGGGGGAGGTGGCAGCGGCTGTCCTTAAGGAGTGGATGCCGAGAGCTCAGAGGGAATGCGGACACAAGGTGAAGGTGATCCGTAGTGACAATGGTGGGGAGTTCATTGGAGCTGATTTTGAGGGGGAGTTGAAGAGGAAGGGGATCCAGCATCAACTGACAGTGCCCTACAACCCGCAGCAGAATGGCGTGGCTGAGAGGTTCAACAGGACCCTGCAGGAGGGGGCACGCACTCTCCTTGGGCGTGCAGGGCTGCCTGATCCGTTTTGGGTGTCTGCACTGAGGCAGGTCGCCCTTGTGAAGAACAGGGTGCTGGCTACAGTTGGAGATAAGGAGTGGATCCCATATGTCAAGTGGTATGGGAGTGCTCCAACTGTGAACATGCTGAGGGCATTTGGGTGCATGGTGGTGTTTCATGTGCCTAAGGAGAAAAGGGGGAAGTTGGATGGCACCAGCATTGGGGGTTATGTGTGCTTGCTAGGAGGTGGTGCTGTGAGCTGGCGCAGCAAGAAGCAGAATGAGGTGGGATTGTCCTCATGTGAGACTGAGTACATGGCCTTACACCATGGGGCCAAGGAAGTAGTGTGGCTAAGGCGTTTGTTGGAGGAGTTGGGAGTTGGTCAGGAGGAGCCGACAGTTGTGTTTTGTGACAATGAGTCCGCTGTGAAGCTCGCCAAGAATGCTTGTCTGCATGGGCTGACAAAACACATAAGGCCTAAGTGGCATTGGGTGAGGAGACTCCTTGATAAGGAGGTGCGGCTGGAGATAGTGAAGACACATCAGCAGGCAGCAGATATTTTCACCAAGCGTCTGGCGGAGGCGGATCATTGGAAGGGCATGAAGCTTGCTGGGATGAGTGTGCATTGAGTATGCATGCTTGAGATGTGGTATGGTGGATGATGGTTGGCAGCCAGAGGGGGAGATTGTTGTGTGATGTTATCATATGCTATCACATTCTGTCTTCCTCCCATCCCTTGTTTCAATTCGCATGTATGGTTTGACTGTGTGTGAAAGAATTTGTGTGGTGTGTTCTGGAGTTTGGGAATGTGTTTTGTGTTATTCTGTTTGAGCAGGTATTTGCGATGATAGATCTTGAGAAGATCTTTCTGAGGCAACAAGAATCGCTTCAATCGGAGCAAGAACGCGAAAGCTATGAAAATTCAAAGTTCATGAGCTTGCGTTACAATTGCGGCGGTTACTAAGTGAAGTTGTGGGGTGACTTTATATGGAGTTGGGACCTTTGGGGTTGGGGAAACTTGTCACTCTACTGTAACAGCTGCAAATAGGTTGGGAACAACCAAGCTAGGTTGGCAAGGGTGGCCAACTTGGATGGATTGGTTGGGAAGGGACAAAGGTCAAAGTTGAGGTTCCTATAGGGAGGGAATCTTTGTGCTTATGGGGTTTCCTTGGTTGGGGACTCTCTTGGGACCTTCCCTCTCATCCCTCTCTTCTATCCCAACCTTTCTCTTGCTCCTCTAATTCCTTGTGAGATTCTTGAACTTTGATTGAACTCTTGAGATTGAGTTAAGTTCTCCTCCTACAGCTTACCCCCTAATGCGTCGAAAGCCATAGCGTCGCGAATACTTCATCAATCAACGTGATTCAAATTGGGAACGGTAGCTGAGATCAAGAGCTACAACATATCCAAGTTTCGCGACATTCCAACGGCTAGTGTTTTGTCGACGTCGTTTCTTGTGAAGACGACTTTTCTGTCCAGAATTTCGGATTTATATTTTGAGTAATTCTAGCTCCTAAGTTCACCTAGACTCTGTCCTTAATCCTAACACGTTTGACCCTCTTAGTGGGAAGATTATCAACTACACCGGGGAGTCCAAACCTCCGTTGCTCTTGACAGTAGTGTGCCACGGCCGGAGACTTAAAGTCTTAGTGGATAGCGGAGCGTAAAACACTCTCTGCTCCGACACCACCATCAAACGTCTCGACTTCAGCAGCCAACCTTCCCACTTTTTGGCGACAATTGTGGATGGCATGTAGTTACCAGTACACGGCGAAACGCGTCTACAATTCTACATCGGCCCAATACGTTGGCCACCCGTCGCACCAGTTTCCCAATTACATGGAGTGGACCTGATGCTCGGGAGGGATTTCTTGAAGCAGTTCAACCCTGTTGTCACAGGATCGAATGAGGTTTGCTCAATCTTGCACTATCCATGAGTACAAGGTGCTTTTATACTTCCAGAGTACATCAGGTAACCAAGTTTATCCTATCCAAAGGGAATAGACCCTTCAAGAAATAGAACCACCATGCGTATAGCCACGTGAGGCTATTGGCTTGAAGGGATTACGGCAGGATTACGCTAGATATAGCACGCCAGTACATCCCGAGCCTGGTCGGTGATATACAGTGACGGAAACAATTGTCCGGATGTTTTGCACTAACTAGGGTTTTTGGGCATTCCGACCACTGTACATAAAGCCTTAATGTTTAATGGTGGCAAACTTTGGGAGGGGCACATAGTGGATGTGTTCATAATGCTATAATCCATAATAGTACACTAGATCTAACTTAGTGCCAAAAGATATCCAAAGAGTACATCTGGACAATTGTTTCCCAGGACAAAGAGCAAACTTCCGAACATCAATCCTAGTAACTAGTCCACCGACCCTTAGTCTTGATCACCACCCGCACCCTCCTAGGCATGTTATGTACGAGGTTAGTGCAAACCTTTGCAGGGAGCTTCTCGCACTCTTCCTGGATCCGCTCTTTTGCATAAGGGGGTGAGCACTAGGAAAATCGCGAAGGATTTTAGCGTATGCAAAAGAAATGTGCATGCTTTCTGATTTAATGCGATCTCTTAGTCTTGCCACACTGAAGTGTGACCAAAGATGTCATTAGCCGATTGGTCGCGTCTTTTCATAGGTCGTTTTCGACGTACCGCTGTAGGGTACAACCACGAACACTACGGGGAAAGCTAGCGTATACGCCGTGAAACTGAGGGTAATGTAGCACGGTCGATTGTACACCCTTGCACTATTAGAATCACGCCAGGATCCGCAAGTCTCGTCACGGTGCAGCAATCGAAGAAGTCACGACTGTTCGAGATGAATGCTTGAGGTGAGGTATGGTGAGGAAAAGGGTCACTCCAATGCAACATACTCATGCTCTCCAAGCCATTCCAAGCCATTTGACCCGCCTAGGCTTGGAATGGCTTGGAGAGCATGAGTATGTAGCACTGGAGTGACCCTCCTCCTCACCAGACCTCAACCCGGATATTTTTCCCCACCAGCCGGGGCTTCTTCGACTGCTGCACCGTGACGAGACCCATGGATTTTAACGTGATTCTAATAGTGTAAGGGTGCACAGTCGACCGTGATATGTTACCCTAAGTTTCGCGGCGGATGCGCTAGTTTTCGCCACTCTGTTCATAATTTTACCCTACAACGGTACGACGAAGATGACCCATGAAAAGACGGGACCAAACGGCTAATGGTCCCGTCTTTTCATGAAGAGACACACCTCAGCTTGGCTAGTCTAAGCGATCACATTCAATCAGAAATCGTGCACAATACTCTTACATACGCTCAAATCCTTCGCGATTTTCCTAGTGCTCACCTCTTTTATGCAAAAGGGTGGGTCCAAGAAGAGTGTGAGAAGATCTCTGCAAAGGTTTGCACTAACCTCGTAGATAACATGCCTAGAAGGGTGCGTGTGGTGAGCAAGGCCAAGGGTCGGTGGAATAGGTAATAGAAACGCTGTTTAGAAGCTTGCGCTTTGTCCTGGGAAACAATTGTCCGGATGGACTCTTTGGATATCTTTTGACACTGAGTTAGATCCACTGTACTATTATGGATTATAGCACTATGAACACATCCACTATGTGCCACTCGCAAAGCGTACCACCATTAAACATTAAGACTTTATGTACAGTGGTCGGAATGCCCAAAAACCCTGGTTAACGCAAGACATCTGGACAATTGTTTCCGTCATTGTAAAAATAATAACAGGATAAACCAAAGGATAATGGAAAGGGAGGAAGAGGAAACCAAATGAGATGAGATAAAGACCAAATGAATCAGGATAAAAAAAAGGAATGAAATAGAAAATAAATATGGAAAGGGGAAATTGGTATAACGATATCGTACTCTCACACTTCCCCCCCTCAAAGCCGGGTGGTAGAAGTAACACATTGCTTGACAAGGAAGTCACGAAGAGGACGATGGGCGTTACCCATGTCGAATTCAGTGACGTAGCCTCAGAAGGATTATTACCCTTCCAGCAAAGAAGAAGCTTTAGAGTACCATTCTGATGACGACAGTTTCCGAGCACGTAGTTGTCCCATGTTGTGGACGAACACGGGCGACGACGGTGGTTGGCATTCGGTGTAGAGCATGTTTGGTCTTGATACGGTTTAAGATGCTAGTATGGAAGGCGTTATGGATCTTTCAAGTGGCTGGTTGGCTCAAGCGGAAGTTGACTGAAGTGACCTTTGCTTTAACGATGATAGACCCGCAGAAGCAAGGTTGAAGCTTGGATGGAGGATGGCTGATGTCACGATTATGGTGTGGATAACTGTAGTGAAGAGTGGCTATGTGCTTCTGCTGTTGTTGGATGTTCAAGAGGCGCTTGTGTGGCTGATCTTCGAGATGGTGGACGATGGCGATGAAATCGTAAGCAAGTTGGCCTGTAGCAAGAACTGTCTGTTGATACCGAGTGAGCAGGCTCCGTCCACAGAAAGGAAGGATGGTGTGTATCACCATCAATGATGTATGGGCAAGTGCAAGTTGTAGTTGGAGATGTGAATGGTTGGAACAGTGTGCTGTAACGTGCAGATGAATGGCTATAATGTCCGATCTGTGCATGCTGTTACCCCCATCTCGTCCACGTGTGAAGATCACGATGTGTTGGTGGTATGGCAGTCGTGTCATAATACTGCTTATGTAGCAGCGTTGTATCTGTTACATGCAGATTCTGTCGAATGCTGGTCCATGCCTTGGTGTTGTCGTGAGTCGTACCCTCTTGGCATCGTAGTGCTCCGGGATGGAGAGCAAAAGTACTAATAGTAACCTTGTCCACCATGCGGTCTGCTAGTTACACTGCCTTAAGTACAATAGCGCATGTGAAGTGCTGCTCAGCGTATCCCTTGTATTCAAAACCATGCGAGGGGTTGGTACCATAAACGCGGAGCTGGTAACTTCCAAAATCGGCGCCAAAGTAGTTTCCCTCAGTGGTTGCTCAAGCAAGGAATCTCTGTTGCGTAGATATCCCACGGTGATGGGTTAGGACATCTGGGAATATTATGGCGATTCCCAAATAATCCTCTCCCATTTCCAAATTAGCATTGCTGACAGCCAATCCAGTATGACCTTATGCACTTGCAGTTTAGCACGGAGGCCATTGGTAGGCATCGGTGTTTGGGCGCACATATTGGGATAGGTCTTCTGGTGCCATCATGTGTTGTCTCATTCTGTTACTGTCCTTGAAGTAGCATTGATATCGAAGATGTCTCAGCTACTCAGCATCAGTGTTGAAGTCTGCTCCATTTCGGCAAATATGGGTGTTCTTGGAGATACGCGGAGTCCACTATCCGGAGTGGCGTCGGCGCTCCATTTCACGCCTATCTGCTTCCGTTGACTTGGTGCTGGAAATGGATTGGTTGTGATGCAGGTTTTATGACTTTAAGGAAAGCCATAGGCCATGAGGACTTGTATACCGGTAGAGTACCGTTGTCCTCCCATCCTCATAAGAGCAAATATCTCTTGCTCTTGAGGGTATATGGCATTGCCATGTTAATCCCTCATATGGTGGTATTTCCTTTCCACTTGCTGGAAATCAATGTTGTGCCTAACTAGGACTTTACGATCTAGTGGAATATAATCCAGCATTATCTACGTTGAGCGGAGAATCATCCATGAATGTTGTGCCAAGTCTTCTGCTGCGGCGGCGGCGGCGGTTGCAATGATGGCGACGGCGGCAGCCGCTGCAGAGAATTCTCTTAACTCGTAATGGTTGAAGGAGAATCCATTAACTCCCTCATCCCAGTAGAGTTTTCATTATGGGTGTAGCAGGCGTAAGTACCAGGAACACGAGCATTTTGGTACACATGTGTTGCTCCATTACTGCTGCTGATTGTTTCATTTGAGGGTATGAAGATAAATTTGCTTCTCCCCTCAATGTATCCACGGGTAGCAATTCCTGGTATGCTCATCCGTGCCTCCGATGTACGGTCGGTAGAGCGCGTGATTGTATTGTACTAGTCCATATCTCCCTCATGTGTTGACACCTTGTGTTGCTTGGCATTCTCATGTATCGTCGAAGTTACGCTGATGCTTGTAACGCTTCGGCTTC